GGGTGGGGGGGGGGAGGAGGGATCTAGTTCTTGAAGGGGTGGGCGAGTTGAAGGTTGCTTGTGCAAAATGGCAGGGCATCTCAGCGGCACGCTACGGTGTGGTGCAGCAGGAAGCATGGCAGTACCGCGGTACCTTGAGGTTCTCTGGCAGCTCCTGCCGCCCCGCGTAGCCCGGGTTCATGGTGATGAAGAAGCCGACACGGGGGTCCAGCGGTACCGTGGCACCGTCTGCAGGTAAAAGGGAGGAAAGCAGCAGGGAGGTCCAGCAGGGCAGAGGCATCGTCAGCATGGAGGGCCCCATGGCCCGCTTGCAAGGCACACGTAAGGGACGGCAATGTTGTGGTGAGGCAGGCACAGCGCTAGCAGTCAGGCAGCGGCCGGCCGGGCGGCGAGCTCGAGGCAGGTGCAGGCGCAGGCCGAGGGCACGGTGGAAAAGGAAGCGATGCGAGTGAAGCAATGTCAAGGCTCCTTCAGTGATGGGGAGAAGGCATGCGGCGGCAGGACACAGACACGGGAGCAGCAGCCCCCCCACCCGTGAACACAAAGCTCTTCTTGCGCTCGCGGATGGCGGACAGCACGCAGTGGATCTGCTGGGCGCACACCGACAGCACGTCCAGGTTGATGCTGCGGGAGGAAAGCGGAAGAGGAAAGCAGGGGGCAGGCACGTCTCAAGGGCGGCAACACCGCGAGCGCAGCAGGCACCAGCAGCGGAGCGCAGGCTCAGCTCAAGACGGCGCGCAGCGCAGCAGCCAGCGGCGGCAGCAGCTCCAGCGGCGGCAGCGACAGCAGGGGCCAGCAGCCGCCACCCCCGCCCACCGGTTGAACTCGTCCAGGCAGGCCCACAGGCCGCTCTGCGCCAGTCCCTTGAAGATCTTGCCCAGCCCCTGCGCAGGCGCCGCGGGTGGGCACAGCAACCCTGGCTCAGGCCACACAGCATGCACATGCACATGCACAGCGGCGGCGGCGGTAGCGGCCCCACCTTGCCCCGCCACCCACCAGCAGCGCCCAGACCACCTTACTCTCCGGCTGTCTCTCTCTCCCTTGCCCACCCTCCCACACACACACGCGCACATGCCCCCAATGCCCACAT